ATATGTCGGAATAGGCCGTAATCTATCAACCCGCCTGCAACGCTATGCCACACTTGGTAACAACGAGGGATGTCTCTCTCCTTCTTTTTGAAAACAAATTAGAATGGTTGTAGCAGCGTATGGTGCGGCCATATCACGTTCATAACAGCCAACTGTTATTCATTCTAGGTAGGCCAAGTAGCCATTTGATAGTCGAGATGTCAGTGGGCCTAATAAGTTGTTGTTTTGAGGGGAATATTATGTAAAGGTTAAGTATATGCGCAGGGTAAGAAACTGCCAACTATTGTTCAACAAATTCGCCGGCGTTTTAACTCTCCTACATTACTGGCAGACGTACACATTCCACCTAACAGTCTTTCGAGTAGTCTTTTACGAACTGACTTTTCTACGCGCCGAACTGTCCTCTTATCAAAGAATTACGTGTGGGGGTGCAGAAAAGATACCACTGTAGACATTTTACCAGGGCTGACTCCTCGAACGGTACAGGTCAGCGAATGTCATCCTACCGATGCAGAGCCGACCAAAACTCTACCGAACAGCATTTACTTTTGACAAAAAATATTGTAGGCAGTTCTCCGTAGCTTTTCCTTACCCCGCGCATATACTTAACCCTTACAGAGTATTAATTTGAATTTCTCAGTCAACATTGGCAGCTTCTATATACGCCTGTCTCCACCTATGTCATCCTCCTGCCCCCCCCCCATCCCCTTATCATCAGAGCCGTAAAGCTCATGACTACTAACATTGCTAGTAATGCTGAAAGTTCGACCGTTGTTGCCGACAATGTCCTCCGTGTGCTCCAGAGAAACGTGAGAGCAGGCACGGTGACTTGCGCGTGGATTAGTTTATGGTGGTAGCAGACTTGCGCAGCATTTACCGCACACTCTCCTCCCCCGCCTGGGGCCGGTGTCAAGACATGGTCAATAGGACCGAAGGTGGAAGAAGGCGCGGGTGGCACTACTGATGCTACTCTATATTTCAGCCGTCGTAGGCAACAACGTCCACATCTGTGCGAGGTGAACTCAAGCGTGTGCGGCACGTGAAAATGTTTAGGGTGAAGAAGACGCGCGTTGCATCTGGTTCGTTCTCTTCCCACCCACCCTCCATGCTCCGAGGACAATACCGGAGTGGGGGCGGCCTGTGATTGGCGCAGGCTCACAGGCCGACAGAGCTAAACAACATGTTTACGCGTGCAACACGCGCGATTTAGCCCCCATGCCATGTGGGCCAAACTGAGACTGTTGGAATGTGGTGGGAAGAGGCCAATATCTTCCGTCTCTCAGAATATCATGAAGGTCACATTAAGAATGAAGCATGGCGGACTGGCCCGCAGTCCTGAGTAGGACTGAGTTACGACCTCAGTTGGAAGTCACGACTGCCAGCACGTCGAATAGATTCGAGCGCGCCAGATTTATTGTAATGAGTGTCGATTCCCTGACAGCGATCTCACATTCTCCTCTCCCTTCAAGCGCCAGTCGACCAGTTGGAGATGAGATGTGGCGTCATCTTCTATCTAGGACGTGCCCCGCGCATGTGTATCCGTAGTCAGGGGCGCGCACAGGCCCAACGCAACCCAATAAGTAGGTGCAAGGCACCTCCGGCACATCCTGATTTGGAGGGTGTATGTGTGTGCTTACCTTTGTCTATGGGGTCCTGTGCCCCCTGCAACGAGCCACGCGGTAGATACACTGGACCAACAGTGGGACCAAATAAGGGCACGACATGCGCTGACTGGGCGGTTCTCCCATAACAGATGTCACATATTTATGTGTGACACGGTGTGTGACTGGTGTCTGGGAGAGGGAACGCAGTAGGCGGGCTAACTCATGAAATGTCCAACGGAATTCCGAAATGCGTTTTCATTTCGCAACGATTAATTGAGTAGGGTTGCAAAACTAGTCAACCTGCAACATGATTCTATAATATTTCAGTTAGGTCAGGATGTCGGCCTTTGAACGCACTCTTTTGGCTGCATACAAAAAATATATTCTGCAAAAAATGACTACTAAGTAGCATGAATTTTGCTTGTTGATTTTCGATGTCCCTAAATGTCCACTTATATTTCATGAAAAACATGTAAAAAATATACATTCTTTTGCTCATTCGGTAGATAATTACGTCTTATTCTTATTTTACACTTAAAGGAGGGACATCATTCGGTTTTAAAGTTTTCCAATTTCCGAATAATTTTGAACCCGCTCTACCGTCACGCTTCGATTCAGGGTTTCTAAACTATAAGCCGTACATTTTCCGCGTACGGAATTAAAGGGGGACCATATAGGGTTCATCAAATCTAGCAGTGGATTTGACCCATATTGCTAACTTTATAAGCCATATTGGTAAGGGAAGAGACATGAGGATTTATGAACGGCTATTTCACAGTTTTTAAAAGTCACACAATTAGAAACCTTCTCAAAACCGAATTATGTCCCTCTTTCGAGTATCAGTTTAGAATAAGACGCAGTTATCTGCCGAATGATCGAAAGAATGAATATTTTTATGCATATTTCCCATTAAATATAACTGGACATTTAGGGACATCGACAATCAATGAGAAAATGTCCTGCTGTGGAAGTAGTTATTTTTTACAGAACGTAGTTTCTGCATGCAGCCGGAGGGAAGTTCGTTCGAAAGCCGGCATCCTGAGGTAACTGGAATATTATAGAATTATGTTGCAGGTTGACTAGTTTTAAAACCCTACTTAATTAACATTTTCGAAACGAAGACGCATTTCGGAATTTCGGTTGACATTTCATGATTTAGCCCACCTACTGTAGACAGTGAGGTCGACAGGCGATTCCGTTCCAGCGGCACTTTCCCCAGTAATAAGCAATCTGAAGCGCTTGTAAACTATCACGGTGCGTCAAAAGCCGTGGCTTGGAAGGCAGTCAACTGACTGGCTGAACCTGTCCTTCTCTCAGGGCGGAGAACCAGGCTTCAATGGCTCCTCCCTGGTGAGTCCTCTATGGCACTTCCACTCAGATTGGATTCTGGCAAACTGCTTCTTGCTTTTGACAAACCTTGGTCCATCTTGCGCAGGCCGGGTGTGTGTGGCATGCCCACACGGGGATGTTTAGCTTTGTCCGCCTATACGCTTGATCCCGCCTCAGGTTGTCTTGACTCTCTCCTGACACGGGGCGCTGGTGGGTGGGGGGGGGGAGCAGAGAATGCGACAGACGCTGCGCAAGTCGGCCTGCCCCCTCGCTGGAAATCGTCGTTCAGGGTTGTTGGACTGACCTATATCCAAATAGACAAAATTCGAGCGAAATGTTTTAAACACCATGGCCTGACATAAGTGAAAAGTACAAATTTCGTTACTGTTCAAATTAGCACTTAACAGGAGAACTTTATATCCTTATAGGTCATGCAGGCGTAGTCAGTAGGCAACATTATTAATAAACATAATTAAAAGAAGAAGAAGTTTCAAGGTCGGTAGGCAGAATATTTAGTTTTCATATCTGTGCAGAACAGTGTCCATGAGTGATTGAGGAGGGGGAAACGGCGGTTCGATCTCCAGTGCACGCATGTCAAATGATCGGGGTCAGACAGCCAATGTAAAAGTACTGAAAATACTTTGGGAGTGATCGTTCCTCCGAAAATATACGTACCAGTCCGAGCAGTTCTGTCTGGCCTTGATGCTCCAATCCAGAGACCTCGTAGACGGTCGCTTATCAGTGGGCAACCCGTAATCCGGAATCGTTACTGACAAAGACAAGAAGCAATGTGAAACTACCATTTTTGCCCTACTCACCGTTGCTATTCAACTTCCGAACCTAGAGTGAGAAGTATTCCCGCAACTTGTTTGATAGTAAATGTCAGTCAGTGGACAGTAAATCGTGCCTTGAAGTGCAATTGCTGTAAATTTAATTGCCTTAAATCTACGACAACTACGCGAAATAAGTTAGTGGGGAGACCGCTATTTACATTTTTATGTTCATCGATTGGACGCGAGCATATGTGCACGCGAATACGCGCGGAACTATTTTGTGTGGGCTAGACGAGTAAGGCAGTTACGCCCTTCGACGCACTGAGGTGATGCTAAGGAGATGGAAATCGTCATTTTTACCCTTATGGTCGCTCTCAGCCAGTGAGGGGACGTTGGTTTCGACCCTCCCTCGGCCTATCTATGGCAGTTCAAAGTCCAAGGCACTGACCCCTATGCTAAGGAACACTGTCCAGTCAGACGGGCAGCTGTGTAAATCCTACCACAACTACCATACTTCGAGTTGTATTGAAGAAGAACAGCAAGAATGGTTGACTGGGACAAGGTTTAAAATAGTAATTGCGATGTAAGCCCCTTCGAAAGCACTTATTTGATGCCACCCACATTACATCATCAGCAAATTGGCCACTTTGCAACCTTAAAGTACATAAGACAGTTCTCGGCTGACACAGTGACACACTGGTAGGGGACGATCACCGATCGTTCATACGGGACTCACTCGTTCCGTTGTGCCTTACGGGCTCTCTCTCGAGCCCAACCAGCAGTCGCACAGCGGCGCATGATATAGGCAGAAAGGCATTACCGATACTTTGTCTTTGTCGATAATGCCGTTCTACACTGACACACGCTTATCTGGACATGTGCGTTTGGTTGGAAATTGACTCCGGCACATCGCTAGTCCTCGGGACGCCAGAATATGAGATTTTAGAAAGAAAGAAAGAGGGCATGGACCAAAGGCTGCGCGAGTCTCCTTCATCAGGTCTGGCTTACATCCAAGAAACCACTGACCCTGCAGGTAGTGGCAGTTCTCATCCAGTACGACGGATGGACTGAAACGCTGACAACAGTAGAGGACCTACTGTAATTATGTCTTGGCACGGTCAATGCTTCATTAGTTCCATCAGCTAGACAAACTTCATAACGAGCACGCTCCCTTCGCAAACAAAGCAGCCTTCTACCGATGTCGCCGTCTTCTGCAACAGCGGCTGCGTGAAACGCAGGACGCCTGGACGGCTTTCAAGGATGAGGAGATCTAAGGGTACGCGGACCGCGACGAATGAAAGAATTTCCTCTCCGTAGTCAAGGGTGCCCACCGTCCCACAGCCAAACGAACCGCGCCGACGGAACTGCCCTTCTCACTGCGAAGGCGCAAATTCTAAAGCGCGGGGCCGAGCACTTTAGAAGCGTCCCCAACCACCCCTCCACAAGCTCCGACGCCGCCATCGCCCGTCTTCCTCAAGTGGAGACCAACGCCGAACTGGACCTCGCGCTCTCTCTCCACGAAACCATCAGGGCGGTGCAGCAGCTCTCCAGTGGGAAAACGCCTGGATCGGACGCGATCTCTGCTGACACCAACAAACGCGGTGCCCCCAACTCATGGATCATCCGACGGCCCTCTTCCAGGAGATAAGGCGCCAAGGGGAAGTCCGCAGGATTTCAAGGACGTCACAATCGTCCATCTTTACTAGCGAAACGTGAACTGCCAACCTTGCAACAACCACCGAGGCATTGCGCTGCTCAAGCTCGCCGAAAAGATCACCGCCGGCTCTTTACTCAACCGTCCGAACAAACATCTGGAACAGGGTCTCCTGCCGGAAAGCCAGTGGGGCTTCCGCCGTCATCGTGGGACCACGGACATGAGCTTGGCTGCCCGCCAACTGCAGGAGAAGTGTCAAGAGATGTGGACCTACCTCTACTCTACCTTTAAGCATCTTACGAAAGCCTTCGACGCGATGAATCGTGAAGGCCTGTGGAAAATCGTGCAGAAATTCGGTTGTCCGAACGATTCACTTTGATGGTGCGTCAGCTCAACGATGGCATGATGACACGCGTCATGGACAACGGAGCTGTCTCAGAGGAATTCGCAGTGACCAACGAGGTGAAGCAGGGCTGCATCCACGCGCCCACCCTCTTCAATTTCATGTTCTCTGACACGCGCGCCCTGACGAACGCTCCGGGATCCGCGTTGACAACAGGGTGAACAGACAACTCAATCATCGGCTGGTGCACTTCCAGTTGCGCGTATTCACAACTATCGTCCATGACTTCTCTTTGCCGACGACTGCGCTCTCAACGCTACCTCGGAAAGGAGCATGCATAGGAGTATGGTCCTTTTCGCCACCGTCCGCGGCAACTTCCGCTTGATCACCAACACGGATAAAGCGGCGGTCATTCTCCGAACGCCACCCAACACTGACTGAAATACACCTCACGTCAACGTCAATGGCACCCAGCTACAAGCCGTGGACACATTCACTTATCTGGATTGCTGCAAAATCGACGACGAGGTGGCCCGCCGGATCTCAAAAGCCAGCAAAGCCTTCGGTCTCCTGCAGAACACCGTATGGAATTGTCATGATCTCCACCTAAGCATCAAGCTCAAGATGTGCAAAGCCGTTATCTCGACGACACTGCCGTATGGAGCGGAGACCTGGACGGTGTACAAAAAGCAGGCGCGACGACTCAACTACTTACACGTCAGCTGTCTTCGGCGTATACTAAAGCTGCGGTGGCAGGACTGGATCCCACACACACAGGAGTACTAGAATGGATGGGAATCCTCAGCGTCCACATCATGTTGAGACAGTTGTGGTTGCGCTGGAGAGGCCACTTCATGTGAATCGACGACGAGCGACTAACCAAACTGCTCTTTTATGCGGATGTCGCCACGAGTTCTCAACGACAAGGAGGTCAAGGTAAGCGCTACAGGGACACGTTGGAGACTTTATTGAAGCGCCTGCAGATCAACCCGACCAACTGGGAAGACCTCATCCGGAACCGACTGGCCTGAAGGAGGAAAGTGAAGACAGGGGCAACGATCGACGAAGCCAACCGCATAACCGCCGCCAAACCCAAACACGAAGCTCAAAAATCCCAACTGCTCCCACCACGTAACGCCAACGCTCAACCGTCTCTGATATGCCCACGGTAATAGCGAAGGTTTCCGGAACAAACTGATCTTATTGGACATCTCTGGACAAATTGCAGAACCCGGACGACACCATCTGATCCCTCACCGTTCACCTCTGCTTCGCACTCCACGTCGATAATCAACCCTAAAAGCTCCCCTGATCCCCGTCGCCATCCTCCACAATCTTCCCCGCCTCATCTTCTGCTGCGACGACTCCTGCCTCCACTACCACTGCACACAATTCTGACGCACCTCCAACACCGTTGGTGTGGACTTCGTCCGAACTTGTCCTCATCGAGACCTCAAACTCACCTCACGCATCGGCCTGGTCGTTCACTCGCGAATCCGTCGTACAGAGAAGAGCGAACCAGTGGCTGGAGCACCAGCACACATCCGCCGCATCTGCCTCAATTACCCTCACTGCTCCCGCACATCCAGCCAGCGCATGAGCCTATTAGACCACATGCGCACTCATGAAAACCTGCGACAGACCACCGCCGGCCACACCACACCCTCGCAACTTCCCCCGCTAACACCTACACTACACGTCAACATCACCCATCGTCTCACAACGCAAGCACTCAACTGACGTTTCTCACACAAATGGGACGCGAGCTTCTCGACTCCTTCTCCACGTGGCTCCTCTGCTGCATGCGTGATCCAAGTCTGAGACTATCACGGTGCGCCAAACGCAGTGGCTTGGAGGTTGCCGACTCACTCCGTGCAGTCAGCCGGGTTATGTTTGTTCGTGTGAGGTGGCGGGTTGATGGACCGAGAGTCAGGCTACAACGACTCCTTCTTAACGCGACCTCTGGCACTCCCACGCATGTGAGGAGTGTGTACTTTCATGCATCATGTTCGCTTCTGCAAAGTAGACCACTTCTCTACTGTAGGCTCACGGTCAGATCAGCCACATCTGCTCAACTTCCGCCTGGATTACTCTCCCATGCATATATGATTGTCTGTCAAATAAAAATGTTATCATTGTTCTGGTCGTACACCTGAAAACCTATTGGAGCACCTCTGTCGTCGACCCCGCCAGCTTCACCTTACTTACCCAAACTGTCTCCTCGGACTGTGGAGTAAACGATACTGCTTGAGATATAGAATTTAGAAGAGACAGTGGCAAGTGAACGTTCCTTTCGGTAAATTCTCATCAGGCCAATACAGTTACATAGGACGGGGTACAGTGAATGAAACAAAATCGATAAAAGTTAGGTTTTTAAATTACAGGCTAGGCAAGAGCGGAAGGGCGCAGAAAGTTGTATGTGGTTAGTCAACCTTTGACCACGGTAAGCGCGGAGCCTGAACAAGGTTCTTTTGGGCGCAAAGGGTCGGTTTTTCGTAACCTTATGGCGGCCGCTTCTGCTGTTGCTAACAGGCGCTGGCCCAGTAGCTTAGGGTAGCTCGAGGGGACCTTGTAAATCACACGAAATGCTTCAGCGGGGTCCACACGATGCCCTGAGTCCACTGCATGCGCAAGGATGGCGCTGTCTATTCTCCGAGTTTCACCCTTTGCCAGCCATGCGGGAAGGTGCTCTCGTATTCTTTTGGAAAGGCGCCGACTCGTACGACCAATATAACCTGCTCCACAGGAGCAAGTGAATGAGTAGATGCACATTGAGGCGGTCTGAGGTGGCAGCCTATCCTTGCCTTCTCTGCGTAGAATAGGGTTAGTAGAGAATGATATGCCTACTGTTGCGCCTCAAAAGTAGGCGTACTCAACTTCACGGTGTGTCCTCACAAGGTCTACTGAACACTGCTCTGGTTGCGGTGGGCAGACCCAACCGCCCGGACCACAGTCACTTCTCCGCTAGGTGTGTAAGTAGACCCCAATGATCTTTATCATATTTGCAGGGCGCCTTCTTCTTCTTCTTCTTCTCCTTCTTCTTCTTGAGAGTGAGACGACCTGACGACTGCCACCTCCGGAGAGGGTCGTTCCGCTCCGGGCGATGGTCCCTCACATTCTGCTTAAAATCACATGCCAGCCCCTCATCGTTCCCGTTAGAGCCTTCAGGCTATTAAAGGCCGATCGTGTCCCGTGGAGGAGGCTAGGGCGTTGAGGACACACGAAGGTGGAGCGCACACCACACCGGGCGGGATTATGACCGTTTCAACCTCTGTAACCCCTACCGCAGGGTGGGCATTCAAGCGTAAAGCTGATAACAACACACTCACGCAGAAGTTTTTTGGTTAAAAAAAACCATCGGGACGACTAACAAGTGATGTTAATGAGAAGTGGCTGAAGGGGGGGGGGCGTGACTAGAAGATGGCCTGTTCTCGAAGTCCAGAAGACTCATACATGGCGGTAGACTTAATTCTACGCCGAGGGGTTTTTCTGTCCTACAGTTCTGTCGACAAAAGGAGGGCAGACGTCCAAAGGAGTTCGTGAGCAACAGCTCAACTCCTGTTGTTGGTTCAGAAATATTGCACCGAGTCCGGCTTTTATAATGACGGTTGAGGAGCAAGTTATAGGCCGAGAATGTTGGTGTAGGATGACAATCCTTGCAGAAAGTTTTTGCCTAATTCTTCCGTTTCATAAAAATGGAGAATTGTTCCTTCTTTCTGGACGTTGAAAGTGCGCCAACATGGGCCTATGAAGGGAACTTCCAAACCACTTTACGCCTATACTCATAACTTTCCTCTTTCTCGATTAGCGCTACAACAGACATTTTGATGGGCGTTTTAAGTGTTTTTGTTTAAAAAGTGGACAACACAAATCAGGTGTTGGCAAAGTGCAAGTGACTGATCTAGATGACGTCTCACCGTTAAACTAGAGAAAGTGTGCGGACGTCGAAGAACTCGACGATGAAATGCAAACTAGTCGCTGCTCGAAAAAAAACAAGAAGAACCTGTGAAGAGAGTTTGCTTATTGCAAGGAAATATCGGACGGGTAGGATACTAATACCAGCACAATGTTCAGCCCTAAGTTGGCGATATCTTGGACCCCACCAAGATGCTAGTTTTGGACATCTGTCTCGTGGTACTGCATTGGGATTTGTGGTCTGTGGCAGCTTCGCGGTGCGCGCTCGCCGCACTCAAAATGTAGTATGAAGGGCAATGAGGAAGTACAGTAGACATGGAATCTTGACTGAAATTATGAAATGTGCTTTCAGTTCCAGAAGGTTACTTTGGTTGAGTTGGGAGAAGATATCCCAGTCACGTCAGAATGCCGGCTTTCGAATGAGTTTCCCATGGACCGCCTGCATAGGCTAAATTCCTTAAAAGACGACTACTCGACTAGCACGAATTCTTACCCTTGATCTTTGATACCCTTATAAATCCCAACATATTTTATTGAAAACATATGAGAAAATATTCCTTATTTTACTTATTTCGGTGGCACATTACGTCTTATTTAATTTTTATGCTTGGAGAAAGAATATCTTTGGAAATGTTGTATACCTTATAAACAGCATTAGTAAACGGATGGATATGATGCTGCCTAAGTGAACGTATGACAGTCTTAAAAAGGTTATAATTGTGTACTTTTTGCAGGC